GGGCGGAATAGTGCTGAAGGAAATGGCTGAGAGAGGCCGGGTGCCAACCGACCTGTCTGGCCATGGCGTCGGACTGCGGAGACGGGCACTCGACGCTGAAGAGGTGTCTCGGCGTGCTCAGAGATGCGAGGAACGACAGCGAGCAGTTCGCAGCCCTGCTGCTGGTGAGGGACCGCTGCGGGGCGGCGCCCCGGGCGCCATCGCCTCAGGAAGGGGCAAGGGGGAAGGCGAGACCCGCCGCTGGAAACGGGAGAGGCCCAGCGGCGTCCGCAGCGGTGCTTGGTGGCCTTGGGGGCTCCGGGGTGAGGTGCTCCAGTGCCTCAGTGTCCCCGTCAGCACGGTGGGGGGAGCCCGGCCTTGCCTTGGGCGTGCCGGGGTTAGTCAGCACCGTTTGCAGCTCTTGAAGCACTCTGGTAAAGCTCTGCATTAGCGCTTAGACCAAGTGCCCAGCTCAGTGGTTAAGATTTCACTTTTCCGTACTAATGAAAGTTGTTTTGACTTCTTATTGTCCCCGTTCAATCCGGTAAATTTACCACAGCCTCTTGCTGTGCTGTGCACTCACCCCTGGTTTGCCTTACAGGTGACCAAAGCGGTCAAAGCTGGAGAATTAGACGCTAAGACCCGTCGCCAGATCTTTGATGCAATTGGATTCACGTTTCTGAATCGCCTGCTTACCTCCAGGCAGCCCCCGGCCGGCTGCCCCGAGCACACCTTCCGGGCACTGGGTCTTACTCTTTTGGCGTGTTTCTGCACCGATCCAGAGTTAGCTGGTCACTCCCAGATCCTGAACAAGATCCCAACCTTCAATGACATCCTGGTTTCCCCCCACAATCCAGAGAGCACGTCCATGATCGATGATGTATACCAGTGCCTGAGTGCTGTCATGGCCACTACCAGGGGCCCCACAGAGTTGGTGACCAAAGGGACGGTGCCTGCCCTGTGCCAGGCCTATGTGAATCACAGTTATGGCTCTGACCGTGCCTTGACACTGCTCTTGGGGCTGTTGGCCATAGCAGAAGCGAAGTGCTGGCAGAGAGACGCTCCACACCTCCTGGCTGTGCTCAGCAAGCTCTCTGATGATTTTCTCAAGGCTGAAGACATGACCAAATTTGAGTTGTGTGAGGTTCTGCCACACTTCATCCCCCTGTCGCCACCCCTCACACGGGACTCGCAGGGCTGCGAGTGCCTCCATAGACTTTACAAAGGGCTGGCTAACATCTTGGGCAGTAAACTCAGCCAGTCGCAGCGGGACCCTGCTCTGAAGCTTGCTGCCTGCCTCGTGCAGGCCTGTGGGTCAGAGTGGATCCCAGCAGGGAGTGCTGGAAGCAAGTTCCTGGCCTTGCTGGTGAACTTGGCATGTGTGGAGGTCCGCCTGACCCTAGAGGAGCCAGATCCTTTGGAGGTGGAAGGGAAGAAAGAAGTGGTAACAGCGTGCTATGTTCTTATTGAGATGGGGATCCAGGAGTGCCTGAGAGAAGAGAAGCCACTGCTAGAAGAGGTGCAGAAAATACAGCTCATGAGGATCATGGAGGAGGCATTTGGAGCTGTAATATTCTACTTGAGACAGGTAACGCAAGGCTTTCAACCAAGGAGCATGTTTATGTGGCTTTCTCTGTGAAACTTTGCTAGGGTGTTCACTGGGATGCTTAATGGGTGCTCAGCAGTTCACGGCTATAGCTGTGTAGAGCAAAACATGCATCTTTGCCCACTGTGGTTTTCATACCTGCAGCAGCTGGATAGGACAGCAGCCCTAATGTCATTTTCTGTCTACTTCCTTCTTCATACAGGTTAAAGAGGAGGAGCTACAAGATCCTTTCATATTTGCTTCTGTTCGAATCCTTGGAGCCTGGATGGCAGAAGAGACATCCTCCCTCAAGCAGGAAATCTGTGAGCTCTTGCCTTTCCTTGTCCATTATACCAAGAAGCTTTTCAAAGAGGGCAGCCCAGCTGCGTGTCTTTCCCAGCCAGAGCTGGTCAGCACTGAGGGCTCTGGCTTACCCCAGGATGCTTTGAGGTGTGTATTGTAAGCACAGAGTTGATGCATTTTAGCACAAACCTGCTCAAATCTTTTTCTAATTTCCATTCTCCCTACACTGCCAATTCCTGGGCTCTTTCCCCCCCCAGTTGGAAGCAAATGGAGGGTTTAGGCCCATTCAACCACATGTTCCCAATCACTTCCCCTTCCAGATTTCTGCTACCTGGCTTTTGCCATTTAACAGCAGAGGACAGGCCCCGGGACATCCTCATCTCAGAAGGGGCACCAGCACTGCTGTGTGAGTACTTCCTGCACCAGTGGGAGGTACTGATCACCGAGCCCAGGTCCCTGACGCCACTGACAAGCACTGAACTGAGTCTACAGACTGCGTGTGGGATTTTCCTTAACCTGGTTGTGACTGCACCGGACCTCATCAGGTAGCAGAGCTGCAGGAGCTTGATTTAAGATTGTCAGTGGGAAGAAAGGGGGTGCCTTGTGAAATGAGCTTGCACGATCTTTTAAGACACTGTGTTGAAACAGGGATGTCTCTTTTTCAACACCAATTAAGTTACTTTTTTTGGTGCTGCATTTAACCTTGACATTTTCAGGGGCTGCTAGCTCTGCTCAGGAAATGTGTCTCAGGGTTTGCTTTCTCTTCAGGCGAGACAAAACCTTTTCCTCCTTGATGGAGATGTTGCTGAAGTCACTTCCACTCCTGCTGCCCCAGAAAGATCACCTGGTTCTAGCAGCCAACATTGCCACTCTGGGCCTGATGATGGCCAGGATCCTTGCAAGTTCAGAAGGTAAGAAGAGTTCCCACTGGCAAAGTTGCACATTGCTCTGCGTGGCCAGAGACCAGGTCTGGGTGGTTGGGTTGCAGAAAGCAAATACAAGGGAAAAGGGTCCAGTTTCAGTCATTGGAAAAGTGACAAAACCAAAAGCCTGGAGCAGCAAGGAATATGCAGAAAAATTCAGTAGGCTGATGGGCTGGGATGAAGAGATTTCTAGGGCAGGAGGACGGTGTTCTGCTCTCCCCAAAAGCCCTGCTGCAGACAGACCCACCAAAGGGTCCCTCCTTTAGCTGGGCAAGCTCTGTATCAAGTCATTCGTTTCCATTTTCATCCAGTTCTTCAGGGCTCCCAGTCTGCCAAGGAGTTTTTCGGAGCTGCCATTCGCTTCCTATCGCAGGCCCACACGGTCCAAGCAGACCCCGGTAGCGACAGCTTGGCCGCGGCCGTGTCGCCTGCCTACGCGAGTGCCTGGGCTGACGTCCGTGAGCTGTGGTTCCTGGGGATGCAGGCCCTGGCCGGCTGCGTGCCGCTTTTCCCCTGGCTGCCGCAAGCCGTCCTCCAGGCACGGTGGCTGGAAAGCCTCTCGGAGTTACTGACCCGCGTCACTCCAGCTTCCGTGGATTTTGAACTGGTTGCTGCTTTCCAAGGCGTGTTGGTAGAGCTGGCCAGAGCCAGTGAGGTGTGCAGGGACATGATCCTGTCACACCAGGGCGGGGAGTGGGCCAACCTTTACGGTATGGCAGCTTTGGAACAGTGTCTGTCTGAGCAATGAGGAGCCAGCAGCACCCCGGTGTGGGAAACAAAGTCAGACACCTGCAGAAGATCTGTTCAGCATTTCTCATGCACCCTTTGGTGCTGGATGGAGACAAAAAACATTGAAATGACCAAACTGTAAAACTGGAGTGATGCCGCAGAGCTCAGCGGGATTTGCACCATCCACAGCCTGATGTGCAGAGCTGTTGCTGCCTCGGAACACTTCAACATGCACCTGCCTGACCTTCTGTCAGTATTTCTTTTTGAAAACAGCCTGGTTTATTATTAAAGATGTTTTCTGGTTTTCAAACTCCTGCAATGTTGGGATTTCTTTCTGCCCAGGGTGGTTGCTTGCTTCCCCCTTTAACATGCTCTCCCAAGTTTGTCACAGTAAGCCCTTCAGGATGTCACCTTATGTCAGAGGCCCGCACATGGTGGTAAAGTAACTTGGCATGACACGGAGAGGGGTGCAAAAGGCGGGAACAGGAAAAGCTTTAAAATTTACTGGTAGGAGTGAGAATAGCTATGACGTGGCACAGACCTGTCCCCTTCTGGGGTGAAGATGTACAAAGGCCCTTTTGCCGTGCTGTGGGACGACCCCCCTGGCTCATATCCACAACTGGTACCATCATCCCAAATTCATGCCCAGAAAACCTTCACAGCACCGCTTGCTGTTGCTTGTTTTGCCCTGTAAAACCCCCGCACAAGGCACAGCCACGGGGGTTCGTACTTGCTCAGGCTCCCTCTCCCTGCGGGGATGGGACGTACAGGGGGAGTTTCCCACTCTTGCAAGCCAAGGGGTTCAACCTGCAGCAGCCTGGGCTCTCTGTAGAGCCGTCGGGTGCGGATTGTGAAGGCAGAAATGAGTGAATTGCACCTCGCTGACTCCCGGCAGACCGAGGAGTAGTTTGCCTTAGAGAAGAGAGGGCCACACGTACGTTGGGGGAGTAAATCACTTGAACCACTGGCATTGCACCAGGGCTGCCCACTCTCGGGTACCCGGTGAGCCCGAGTGTAAAAACCCCCAGAGAGAGCAGCCGGGCCGGGGTGGGATTTGGGAGCTTTGAGGGAGGATGGCTGCAGCGGCTCCGGGGAGGCTTTTCCACCAGGTGTCAGCCGAGGAGCTCTTTGGGAGCAGCGGCCTCGCCGGGACACGCTCTCCGCGCAGAGCCAGGCACTGGTCCTGGCTGCCCTCGAAACCCGTGCTGGGGCGGCCGGGGAATCGTCTGATTGAGAGAAAATCAAGAGAGAAGCTGTCTCGAAAAGAGGGCTGAGTCTGGGTGTATTCCTGCTTTATACATATTTTTCAGCTCACCGTTTTACAAAGGCAAATGCCTGAGACAACTAGAGAGGAGGCGTCTGCCGGTGCTCAGGAAAAGTCTCTTTCTGATCTTTCCAGCTCAGCCCTGCGAAGTTAATGCAAGTTGGAACAAAGGCAGGTGCTACCAGAAGAAAGCGACGTGAGCCAAACAAGCAAATGAGCCTCCTGGCCCTGGAAAAGAGCACAACTCTGCCTGAGCGTGGGCCGGGAGACTCTGCCCATCCTGCCAAGAGCGCCGCAGCCCTGCACCGCGGGGGAACATCAGTGCGTTGGAGGAGACAGAAACACATTTCAGATTGTCAGAAAAAGCATCCAAACCCTCAAATGCTTTATCCTTCAACTATTCTGAGTCCTGTATACTCTTCTGCCTCTGGTCAAAGGGTGCGGGCTTCCCATTAATGAAAGGCTATCCTTAGCGCTAATGAGAGATACGTGCCTGTATCAGCAGGAGGGTGCTCTCCTCTCTCCCGCAGCGCTGCATGGGGCTCGCTGTGGTTAGCGGTGCCGGCTTAGCCCTCCTTCATCCCCGCAGGCAGCAGTAGGAGCTTCCACAACACCTGACTGGAGATCCAGGCTGAGCCTGCAGGACCCCATCCTAGACCAGAGCAGTCCTAGACCCGGAGGCCTTTGGCTGCTGGTCTTTAATTCCCAGGCAGGTTACCTGGGAGCAAAGCGAGAGCCCAGGGAAATCCTCCAGCTCATCCTTCACCACGTCCCAGGGCAGTGGGGTTTGGCCACCAGCTGGTGCCTGGAGAGGAACACCTGTCCCTCATTCTCACGCTCTTCAATGGGAAGTCCCATCAGGTGTGGGAAGGACCATCCATGCCTTGCCAGAGCTGGACCCTCCCTGAGACCCCGATGGCTCACCATATACTTGTTCCTTTGCATAACATGGAATACACTCCTCTTGGCCGCCTGGAGTTGGCAGAGGACAGGGTGAGACACCGGCCTTGCTCTGGGATGTTACTGAGCTGAACGCCAGAGGACACGCGTTGTGTACATGCCAGGGCTCCTGGAGCTATACCCCTGCTCTCTTGTCCCAGGACACCACTTTCCAAGCATGTGCTTGGACAGAGCACCCCTATAAACCTGGTTTCCCTCCCCTGGGCTCCGACAACAGCACATTCAGGAGGGGAGAACACTGGGGCTGGTGGAGGCCTCCTGCCATGTGGGCGTCTCCATTGGCTCTGCTTGTGCCAGTCTGCAGGTCCCAGCGTGCCCAGGCCAGCTCAGCCCAGCGCGAGGGAGATGGTGCCTCAGTAGCACGGCCGAGGCTTCAAAGACTGCGGGGTCTCTCCTCGGCCACCCCGAGCTTTGTGAGCCAACCGCAGCCCTGCCACTGGCAGGCGGCATCTGCGGGCATCAATCCTCTAGCGCCAGAAAGGTGGATGATGGCATCACCAAATGGCTCCCGTCTGCCACAGCGCTTTGGGATCCCAGCACGGGGTGGGATTGCAGCCAGCAACGCCCAGAGCAAACCCTGCTTTATCTCCTGCTGCATTTTCAACACCAGGGCGAGCTCTCCAGGAACAGGATGATCACTCACCATGGCTTGGACAAGACGGATATGGCCCCAGAGGAGCAGATGCACATTCTGTTTCGCTTTGACAGCTTAAATGTCATGACACCATTGCAAGCCCAACCATGGCATACATTATCTTACAGTGTTTATTCATATCACCCCAAAAGCACTGGCAATAAAATTAAATTTTTCATAAGGTTGTTATTTGGCTGCTGTGGTGCAGGAACCAAGCACAGCCCCCTCCCCCAAACTTGCCACAAGATGTCACGGGGGTGGTGGGGTGGGAGGTCTGAGCAGTGAGCGGGGCTGCCCCGTTCCCTGCCCACCCCTTGACACGGCCCCCGTCCTTCTCCCCAAAGCCCCCCCCAGCTCTCCAGCCCCACGGCAAGGAGCTTCCTTCCCCACCTGGATTCCTGGGAAGGGGATGTGGGAAATAATAGGAGCAGCCTGGGTTTCTCTGATGGGAGCCGAGCTTCTGGGGAAGAACCAGTCCATCTCAGGCTCGGGCAGAGCGCTGTGCTCAGTACTGTTGTTTCCGTGCTCCGACAGCCCTGCTCAGCAGGGATTTTTGCTGCTGACCCCCAAAAGCAGAGATTGGTGCCTCCAGGCCCTCACCCACCCCTGGAAGAGCTGACATACACATCAATCTCCCTGGGAAGGAGCACTGGGACCTTTGTTACAAAACCAGTTTTTCAGAGATTTCTGGCTTGGGTGCAAGTGCAGCAAGTGGTCCCTGGAGTGGAGACGTGGCCCAGACGGACAGGGAACTCTCTCCGTGGCTGGTGGGCGAGGGGACAGGTCTCATGTTGAGGACCTCAGCACGATCATGTCGTTCTGGTACCAGACATGAAGGATGTTTGGCAGAACAAAACGTGGGCACAGCTGGATGTGCACATGGTCCTTAAACTGGGATGCTAAAGAGCAGGTAGTGGAGAGCTGAGATTGGGCGCCCTGTGTTCAGATGACCCCCAGCAATTGTTCTGCCCGCACTGAACCAGTAACAGAAACAGGCAGCTGCTGGGACAGCATGTGTGCAGCACTCGGTGTGACGGTCCTTGGCCCTGCCTGGGACCTCGGGACAGCAGGTTAAAACAAATAATTGTTTGTCATCACCAGCAGTGGCTTAACATGTGCCTCCTGCCCATGGGGAGACCCGGGGCTTTGGCGTGCCCTCCTCACCAGGTGGGTAAAAGCACTCTTAGCAAAGCTGTACAGAGGGGATGGGGCAGTGGGGGGCTCGGGCAGGTCTCAGGCGTCTTGCGAGGACCGTTCGGGTGCTTGCAGGGCTCTGAGCGCGTCACTGGGCAGGACTTGAGGGCTGGGAAGGTGCTGCTTGTGCTCCCGATGGAGAGGGTGCCAGGGCGGAGGAGCTGCACCCAGCCCGGGGGAGAGGAACGGTCAGAGCTCGCCTTCGGCACGGGCACACGCAGCCCCCAGCAGCAGCCACAGCCACTCGCTCTTGTCTGCTGCGAGATGCCTTGTCCCCTTCCTGGGCACCGCTGGGCTGCGGGGGTGAGACGCCCCGACCCCTGGCAGCCCCAGGGCCCCACCAGGCTCGGGCTGTCCCGGCCCCCTGCCCCAGACCACCGGGTTGCCACCCGGCGCGTTCGGTGGCAGCAGGGCAGCTTTGCCTTTTGTTTTTCCTTCCCTTTGTCTGTCAGTGTTGTGGGTTTCCCCTGCTCTGTCTCATTTTTGGGTGGAAACACAGCTTCCCTCCGAGCTGCCGCAGGGGAGCATCCCCCTGCTGCCCCGCGGTCCCACGTGCAGGTCAGCTCGTGGCCTTTCCCACCCGGATTTTGCACAGTTTCACCTCTTTCCGATGAATAAAGACTCGACATTATACGGACTAGATGAGCAAGGGACGTTAAGAATGAACTGGAACATAACTGCAAAATACAGCATGTCCAATCCAATTTTTCCTAGCAAATGAAACAGATCTGGTGGAAAATAAATACGGAACTTTCAGGAGCAGTGTCGTTCAACTGCATTTGAGGGGAGATGAAGAGATTTGAATAGATCAGCCCTTTACACCTCTACACATCCCTCCTCCCTCCCTTAAATGCCATCTTTAATAGAAATAAATTAGAATAAATGATCAGCCCTTGCCTCCTAAAGACAGGTGGCAGGGTAATATTAAAAGAAATGAATAAAAATTCATTTAATGAGCATTGTTAAT